ATAACGATCCATCATACCTGATTCAGTTTTATAGTCCTAGATTTTACCCTGAGAATTGGTTCATCTTCCATAAGTGACACACATCCCAAATCAGTCATTTCATATGTCTCCCATAAGTCTGTCAAAATTTACTCAAGTAGTTTTTAAATCTTACTCACTCCCAGCTCCTCACACTACATTTTCTTTATTCTTTAACTCAGATCTAGCTGGAAGAGGCTCCACAAGAACCTCCACTGTGTCAACACTAGACTTCGGGTACTCGCCATGCTCACTCTTGACATTCGTCACACAGTCATGGCATGCAACTGGGATACAGGAAAAAGACCGAACAGAGATTTGAATGTTACACTTCAACATGCTCAGTGAATGTCGTAGCTCTTGGGCTGTAATACCAAGTTTCAGTTGGCCAACACAGAATTATTTTTATATGGCAGAACAACTTCAGCAGAGGAGCTGATCACAGACCTACCACAGTGTTTAGTTCACTGTCTAGCATTTTGCAACTATAAATGAGAACCATTCAAACAGTCTTGATTTTTCAGATGCGCAGTGGAGATGTTCAAAACCTCAAATATTTTCTTTTTCTTTTTTTTTTTTTTCTTCAGCTCCATTTGTTCCTTCATGGAAGGAGACAGTAATCCAGCTCACAAACTGTACTTACAGCTAACACCATCAGTAGCCTCTCTGGGAAATGCAACCTGTTGTTTGTGAAGATGAGAGACTGCAGAAGTCCTCTCTGTCTAGTGAGATCACGAATACTGCATCTACCCAAGGTTACCTAATGCAACTTGGTCTTTATCTGCAGTGCCTCCTGTTTCTTCCATTCTGGTTATGTCCTCAGCAAACGTAACGTGCAATGGTCCTGAATTATGTGCCAGTTCAGTGTGAGAGAATAACTAGAACAAAGCCAACAAGACCAGGTAACATAGATCCTGAGAGAAGACATGCAAGTAAGCTCACATGAATTACCACTGACTTCTCCCAGAGAGGTGGTTCTGAGTACTGTTTTTACTCCAGCATATATATCTAAAATATTTTGTTTGTGATACATGTACAGATAAATTAAGGTCAATTCTAGAAATAAACCATTGGCCTCATCATCCAGGTGAGGTAAAATATTTAGATTCATAACAAGCATTTACAAGACCTCATTACACACAATTCCTTCAAATTTGCAAGCAACTCACTATTGTGGTTTTCTGCTTAAAGGCTAGCAAAGCCAAGAAAAATTTCTTGATTTCTACTGTCCCCCACTGCTAAAATACCAGAACAAGTATCAAGAAAGATTAGAAGTTAACAAATTTACAGTTCTGAAACAGCAAAGGTTTAAATGTAAGTTCCAGCAAGAAACCACCGGAAAAAAAAAAAAAGATGTAGTTTGACTAATTAGTCCCTAATTGCCAAATTCTTGAGTGGAAAGATTTGATGATAAACTTCATACAAACCACAGTTACTCTGCTAACCTCCCTTTTCTGAACCACCACCAGTTAACATGCACCCCTGAATTTTATATGCACAAACACATCCTATACACGCTGCGTCAGGCAACCCGAGCTGCGCTGAAACAACTCGCTGAGAGCTGGGGGACATTTCTGCCATTAGCAAGAAAGACAGGATCCTGCTTATCAACTCACAGCTTTACATAGACAGCTGCCCTCTGGCTCCCAAGTCCACAAATTACAAGGTAATACTGAAATGTAAACCAAGGTATATTTTTGTACAATTTTCCTGACAGAACCTTACATCAACATTTAACAGCACATAAGTGATATATAAATTAGTTGAAGCATCTCATGTCAGGTCCTCTCCACAGCTTATGGTTTCACAGGTAAGCAGAAAAGACACTCTTCGTTTATTTTTGTACCATGTGAAAGTAGAAAGACCAGGCATGCTTGAAAAATCAACTCAAAAGCGTTTTTAGAAATTCACACAGAGTGGCACAAGAAGTCAGTGATGATGATAATAATTAACATCCAGACATGAATGGCCACTATTGTATTTCCTCAACTAATAACCGTATTATACCACACTACAAGCAAAAAAGTGGATTGTGCTCACGTTTTGTTTTCTTCCCATACTGTACATCTCAGTCACTTTTTTTTTGTGTCTTCCCTCTTTCTTACTCAAAACCACACCTCCCAAAAAAACACTGCAAAGACAGTTGCTTGGATCTTTCAATATTCTTCTTCTAATGATAAGAATACTTATGTTTAAAAAGGAGCAGAAGCCATTCCTTTCTCCTTACCCCAATCTGACTGCCAGACTCAAAAGAGACTGAGGGGAGCTCCCCTCCTTCCTTTTACAACTCTCCCCCTGCAGCCATCCTTCTCTTTCCAGCTGGCCAGCACCAGGGCCTCTGCAATGCTCTCCCATTTAATCCCTGCCCCCAGCGGGGCTGCACAGATGTGACTAATTGCAATTTAGCAAACACCTCTCGCCTGCCCCGGGAGCAGGTTCCAGTTTGTTCTACATCCACCGTGTCAGGTCTGCAGGGACAAAAACATCAGCACGTTTCCTTTGCAGCTCAGGACTGCTGGGGCACAAAGAGCAGATCTATCAAGGCTGATAACGTGGTGGCTTTTGAAAGCAGAATGGAGAGAAAGATGACAAAATCACCTGTAATAATTCTTCCCTTTCTGGTCTGAATCCCTAAGAGGTGTTTTCCTCTCTTCCTAAAGCCATTGTCCTCCCTGTAATGGCTCAGCTGTTAATGTCACTATCTTTGGAAGCAGGTCATGCTAATGGCAAGCTTGCTTTAGGCATATTGCTTCAAGCTCATTAATATGCATGTTCTCTCTCCACTCATTTGTTTCTCTATTTACTCTGAAGTTGCCTTGCTGGAACCTGCACTGCTTTTCTGTGTTAAGACTCTTGGCTGGCATTTCTCAGCTCACTGCATCTCTGGTTGTTATCCAGGGTGGAAATGGGACTGAATGTTGCAAAAGTCAGTTAATAGCACCTCAGGTGATATTTGGTGCTCAGCTCAATGAATTTCCTGGCCTCCTCACCCCCACTGCTGAGACGTTCTTTCTACTTGCTCTCCAGTCAACTGCTTACCCTGCAAATTTTAGGGTAAGTAAGGTCTCTCTATTTGTCGAGCACCTGCCCCAGGGGAGTACAGCCCCTTATTGTGCTTCTGCAAAAAAATAACACCACCTGCGCTACCTTAAGTCTCTCTCTAAATGTCTCTTCCACCTGAAAGAGCTATTTCCAGCATGGAAGGAGAAATCAACTTTGACTCTGATACCAGCTTCTCAGCGTGGTAAGGCAAAGTGATTCAGCTGTCTTCTTTTATTTTTGGCTTGTGATTCAGGAGCAGGTCATTGTTCATATGACAGAGTCAGTCATAACTGGGAATTTGTGTGAGGGGGCAGAGTAAAAGCATTTATGTAATATTCCCAGGTCACTATATTAATCTCTCTCCCCAAATTTATCAGTCCCAACGTTGTTCTCTGCAACAAGCGCATGCCATCCAAGGTTATTTTGGTGTGAAAGACCTGGGACATACTGTTTTCTTCAAGATCCTACATGAACAGGCTGTTAGCTAGTTTCTCTTGAGGTGGCAGGTCATGGCAAGGTAGGTCTGCTTCCTACTAAGTCCCTTCCTCACAAATGTGCAGACACACAACTTTCATGATTCTTCCATAAAAACAAGTTTTTTTCTCAGTAAACATCCATTAGAAAACCAAGGAACACACCCTGAAGCATGTGAGAGGAACTGGCCGTGACCAAGACATCAAGCCTGTCTAACTAAGGAGTGAAGCCCATCTCATTAAATAAATTTAGTGTCCACTTCTGGAGGGCTACAGGAGAAAAAGGAAACAAACAGGTACAAACTCCTTTTTCAGCAGATGGGACTCTGAACCACTGCTAAGACAGTGCATCAAAATTATTACAGTTTGACTGAACCTGGTTTGAATCTTCCTTCACTGTGTACAAATTATTCCCAACCCTTCAAATCCCCACTGCACTTCTTATGCAGAAAAGCAGTAGCGTGCTGGATAAGACTTAAAGTAACTGATTCTTTTACTGGTTGTCACAGAATTTTTCATTAGATAAATCATATAAATATGGAGTTGGTTTTTTAATACAATATACTTCATTAAACTATTTGCAGCACTCATTTTAACAGGATACATAAAAGGAAGCATACAATAAGTTAAAACAAGTGAACAGAGCAAGCAGTATAGATCAGGGGTCACCAACCTATGTCATGATGCAAAGGGCTGCATACAAGTTATTTGGAAATGGCAATACAGAAGGGCTGACGGATGAGCAGGAGCTGAGGGTCCTGGCAACTTGGCAGGGCCCTGCAGTGCAACCTGAGGATACCTTACACAAGGGCCAAGAAGGCTCCAGTTTGGAGGTCAGCAGCATCTAACATCTTTAACGTGCAGTGCCTTCCACTTCACACTGTCTACTGGCATGCGCCTCATTTGATGCAACATAAACCCATCTCACAGCCACTGGCTGAAGCACTTGACCTAGGTCTCGATCTACTGCTGCACGGCCTTGGCTTAGTAGCTACATGTTCTCCAACAGCAGCCAGCAGCAAGGATGCAACATCATCTCAAAATCCGTCACACACTACAATACAGTGAACAGAGCTGCAGAACAGAGCAGTGAGTACAGAAATAGCAGTGCTAAGAGACAAAGTGGCCACCTGAGGAGGAGCTAACAGTGTAGGGTTGGGGTTTGTTTTCAAAATTACCTTGCTTACTTGTTTTCAACACCTTAAAGAAGAAAAAAATCCATCTCAGCTTGCCCTGAAAATTGGTGGTTATTCCATATAAAAAGTAAAACTGGCTACCTGAAGACTAGCATGTTCAGCTTTGCTCTTATTAAAAACAATGGAAAAATACCTAAAGCCCTGTGATTTTCACATCACAGTCACCTGCAACCTGAAAATGCAGTCAGCTCTAATAAGAACACGCAGGTTACTTCATCACCCAAAGACAAGGACAGATTAGAGAGTATGCCACAAAAAGATTTTGACTCACAGTGGCTAATTTCTGAACATCTTCATCAGATGCTCCCAGTGAAGCAAGTCCTATCTCTTGTGAAAACTGTGCAAACTTGGGATCAGCAAGTAGAGGCACGTGTCCCAAGAGTTCATGGCACGTATCCCTAAGGGAATGGAAATGAAAGAGAGTCATTACATAAATTAATTCCATAATCATTTCATAATTAATTTAAGTCATTTTACATGGGTCTGACCTCTACTTTAGAAGTCTTACCATGAACCATGTTTTTTATGAATAGTTGTTCTTCCCTGTGTATGGTTCAAACACACTTAAACCCACAAGTTCCATGACTTCCCCATCACTTCCAGATTGACTGGGAGGGCCGGATCACTGCTGCCTTCCAGGTTAGTACCATGAAGACTGAACTGCCCAAAGGAAAGCCAGGTGTCTCACAAGCACAGATTTCATAATTTCTCTCCACACGAATCAAGTTCAAAATCCAACACATTCCCACTTGCTGTTCTCCACTTCCCTTCCCACACCTGGGTACAGCTCCACAACCAAACATTTTGCCACTTGGCACTAGAACTTCAGGGCAATATTTACAGACGTTTCTGTGTGCTTAATTTCTCCTTTAGTCCTGCCTTTTACTGCAATTACTGAGTACTTTTGTTACATGGTCCACTTTTCACCACGCAGATTTCAGAAAAAGCAGAGAACCCGAATCATTTTAGAAAGAACTACTGTCCACACCTGTAAGTGCATTATTAGTCACGACAAATTGCAGATATAAGTGTACAAAAAACCGCTATCCGACCTAACGAAAGTGCACATGTGTCATCTACAAAAGCTCTCAAACAATTCTGAAAGTTTTGGTGCATTTGTTCACAGAAAATAATGGACTTCGTAGTAAAGTTCACTTTAAAAATCGGATCTGACATTTTCTTTGCTTTTGTCTCTTCAAAGACATTTCTCTTTTTTTTTTTTTCCCTTCCCTAAGCTGTAAACAAATGTTTTAAAGGCAGGGAGAAAACATCAAGTTTTCTGCCTTCTATCCAAAATCATCCAATTTGTCTTTTATAAACTATTTTTGTTTGAAAAGACACAGAGCCTGACATCTCAGATAAATCATGAACAGAAAAACAACCCTCTATATAATTTAAAGTCTCCTTACTCAGTACTCTTCACCAAGAAACCTGTGCCAACTGTGTCTAGGTAGATAGTAGTAGTTTCTGAATGCATGCAAATGAAGATTAGCATTTTTGGCATTCCTAGTTTGCCTCACCAAAAGCTTATCAAATATAGTTCCAGTACCGGAGGGTTACATACAAGTCTCTCTTCTCAGCCCAGATGGCCTCGCTGCCAGACGCTTACCAACATTTACTCATGTTATATTGACACTTTCTGGTGAGAAAAGCACTGCTCTGAAGTTGTGCATGACAAGTCTGAGCCCACCTCATATACAGTAATTCACTCAACAGTACAGAGGAATTACCCAATCTCATTTCTCTTCCTTCCTAGATATACATATTTCCCAAAAGATGCAGGGGAGGTAAACAGATACCCTTGTGCCTGACATGACAAAATGAACATGGTCCATGGACATTGAGTAGAAATTCAGTTGTAGCAATAAAGGCTGAGTGCTCAAGTTTACTGTACACCAATACTTTTAGTCAATGGCCATGAAACATGTTTGATATGTACAGCTGGCTAGGAAGAGTATCAGACATCATACTTACATATGGAAAATTGCTTGCATTTGCTTTCCACTGTCTGGTAAAGCTTGTCCTTCCTCCTGAAAGTCAGATCTTTCCTCCCTTGTTTCTGCATCACTGCCTATCCTTTCAGAGTCTGGAAAACTCCCTGTTTCTTCAGAAGTGGGCAGTAAGAAGGCTTTTCTTTCATGATCACCATCCCCTTGGTGATGCTCTAAGTCTTGCAAGATGATCAAAGTTCCCCACCACAAAACCCATTGCGTCATTCCTCATTGGAGCTCAGACTTTAAAAATTGGCTGGGTCTGGATGGTATCCATCTCTTTGTTCAGGAGATGGTATGAATCGCATGAGTGGATAATAATCAAAGGTTAATGATCCTTCTTTATTTATTCGGTTCCAGTCATAACAATTTCTTCTGTCATCCCCTGAATGACAGAATCGTTAGCATCCGTGCTAATGATACAAAGGACAGCAGGGAAACGGAGTTTGCAGTCTGACAGATAACACTCAGAGAATTCCCAGTACCAAACAATTCACTGGAGGAACCTGACTCCTCCAAACATCACCTTCCAACACAGAAATAGGCCACAAAGCCCGGGAGTCCAGAGCCCTAATTCCATTTTCCATCCTCACTAGAGAAATCAACACCAATTGCTGAGCACTTCACCTATGCTGCATCAGTCCATATATATTTAAGGTAAGTTCATAGTATTTCAGATAACGAGAGCAGAGAAGATAGAGTGGGACTGGCTCCAAGTTCCTGGCTTTAGTAAGCATGCTTTTCTCCAGACAGGCTTCTGCAGCAGCATCACTGCTATTAGTAGCTGAGTGAGTTCCTACATTTCTATTTTCCTGTGCTGAGGTAACAACTCCCAGAAACAAATAAGTGAAAATGTGTTATTTCTAGTTTTGCAGGCTAGTTTTGACACTTCTTTGTGTCAATTCCATCCTTCCAGACAAAATGAGGACAAAGCCTAGCCACACTAACCTGTCATTAAAACTATGCAAAATAATATTTTGAACATGCAGTTATAGAGGAGAACTTGAAACAAAAATATATGAAAAAAAAAAAAAATCTTCCAAGCAGAACCATGAACCAGCATTTGGGATTGTCATTGGAGTCTCTTAGATTTCACTGCCAGTCTGGTTCTTTATAGATAGTCTAAACAATATAATTCTTCGCTTAACTACCAAGGCTTGATTCTTTTGTTTTGCTTTATTCAGAAAATAATTAAGTTCCTTTAATTTATTCACAAACATTGCTCAGAGAAAATAAGATTTTTGTAATGCACTTTTCACAGCAAAAGATTTTTCTTGAAATAAATTAGTTAGCAGAGCAGAGGAAATCTATATAGCTCTGTGAATGTAGTAGAAACATAATGAAACTCAGGAAGAAATGTTTTAAAATGCATATAGTAGTGATTCAGATCAAACTAAATGAACTCTCTAATTTGTATCTGGCTCTATTGCCTGGGTGTTAAATCTGATGGAAAGCCCATTGGAGTCAAAGGGAGTCTTTTTACCAGGTTTATATCATTGAAATGCAACATTCAGCAAGGCAGGGACCTGCAGCAGACCTCATTATGGCCCCATACATCATCCAGCAGACCTCGGGGCATTGCAGCTAATACAGTGGATGAAGAGCTGTCCCTACTCCAGTCAGTTTCGTTTTGCTCCTGATTACAAAATAGCCAGGATGTGACTCTGTTAACCTGGATTTTTAAGTTCAGCTCAAATAAGGGATAAAAATCTTCATTCTAATTTAACTTGTATTACTGCATAGTGACTTTCCAGACACAATGACAAGAAAGGTTCCTAAAAGTAGTTGCCATTACGACTAAGGTTCAGCTATGATATACTGCATAATTCTGAATGGAAGCAGCATCCTGAAAAATACAAGGATCTCAAATATACAACTCAACAAACCAGACAATATCATCAAAAACACAGACTCACTTAATTGTTTCCTGGAAGATGTTCCTTCCTTAGTTCCTGTTGGAGTTATGTACCTAAATCCTCTATCAACAGATGAAAATGTTCTCCTAATTTGTATTAAGTTAATAAATGTCATTATTCTTTTGCTGAGCATTGGCAGGTGCTGCAATCTGAGAGCCTGGCTCCTCACAGGAGAGGAAATCGTTGGTGCAAAACCTGGTATTTTCTATTTTCTTTTTTTTTAATTATCTACAGATACTCCCAGATAGATCAGAAGAGGTCCAGATTCATATATTCAAGTCCTTCTTTCAGGGTATTCCATTTTAGCAATTTGCCTACAAATTTAAGAGATTAAAGTTCTAGCTACAGAAGTTACACAAGGGAGTGAATTCCTTCAAGGATTACCATATCTTTGCCAATAAAAACACACACACAAAACTAGCCTCGTTACTTGCTAAAATGCTTTTTGCCCAGTCCACATGCTGAAGAGTAAGTAGATGTGGGTATAACAGCACCACCTGGTGACTCCTACCAGAATAATGTTCGATCATTTTTAGAGACAGCTTAATATGTGGTTCCATTAATTCTTTTATATCCAAAAATATTATTCCATGGTTTCAGCAGTCTATTCATTAAATCGAAGTTAGGCATGGGTCCAAATGTTTACAGGACTGGAGCTGAGTATATATCTGTATGTGAACCCTTAGTATAAATTTTAGCAAGAAACAAAATACACCAAAACAGTACAATCTGAATGAACAACAATTTCATGCTGTCTGATGACTGATGCACTGCGAAATGTCATTCCTGTGGTTGTAAGATCAGTGGATGCCTTTGGCGAAACTACCTCCATATTATCTGACATATATTGTTCTGTTACTACTGCAGAGAGCACACCATATATAATACAAGACAAGAACTACAATCACTTCGATCTTTTTTTCCCCCACTTTTCATCAAGAGACCAAATGCCAAAATATTTCATCCAAACTTGCAATATTCTGTTTTGGAAACGCTGCAGTGTTGTCCCATGAAAGTCATAATTAAAGTGTCTCTTATTTCTATCATGTTCCCTATAACAGGCTTCATATCTAATATCCTCTCTGGGTGAGAGAACAGTGCCTCATGACTTGCTCGTGTTGTATTATAGGAGAGAAATGAAGTTCAGCTGTGGAGTCTGGCCCAAAAAAGATAAATGAGGACACAAGAAGACCAAATTATAATTCTGAAAGCAGTATTTTGTCAAGGGATTCAGTGGGGGTTTTTTTCCAACTTCTTTCCTTAGTTGTCTATCAGAAAACAAAATTTTAGATACTTTTTCAAAACGTTTAGTTAAAAACTCCATTTTTCTCTGGAAAACAATTCAGACAAAAATTTTCAACCCACCACAAAAATAGCTTAGTTACTTAAGAAAAGTGAAAAGTCCATAAGAAGGCTTTAAATTATGTTCTGGCTCACCAGTGTGAAGGGGTTTGTCATTAATGGCATAACTAGATTTTTACCTTTGTGGAAAGGTTCCTCTTTTCAACCTTGGCAAAATCAATTGAGCCCCTTAAGAATCCAGTGATCATATTTTTTCAGCACTGAAGCAAGTGTAGCAACTTACGGTTCTGGTGTGTAAAGAGGATCCGAGCCATGTCGTATGTACTGAGTGCAGTGAAAAACTCTGTATGCTAAGCCCGCTAAAAAATCTCGGGGAGATAGGTATCCAGCAACTGGTCTCACTGTGAAGCCAGACCTTTCTGAAAGTGAAGGAGATAACAAGAGAACATATTATATATCTCTATATCCATTTCTGATGACAGTTAATGATCTTTAGCTAATTATTCTACCAGAAGCAAGACACAGAGAATACCCTGGTTGAAGACCACCACACATTATTTTCATAGAATCACTGAATGGTTTGGGGTGGAAGGGGCCTTAAAGATCATCTAGTCCCACCCCCCCTGCCATGGGCAGGGACACCTTCCACTAGACCAGGTTGCTCAAAGCCTCATCCAGCCTGGCCTGGAACACTTCCAGGGATGGGGCATCCACAGCTTCTCTGGGCAACCTGTTCCAGTGCCTCACCACCTTCTCTGTGAAGAACTTCTTCCTGATATTTAATCTAAATCTGCCTGCTTTCAATTTAAAGACGTTACCCCTTTTTTTTCACCTATTACATACAAGAATTACTTTGCATTGCTAGCAATGCAATGTTTAATGAAAACAGCTTGAAGCATTTCTAAGTTTGTTTTAATAGCCTTGTCCAGAAAAGATGGCAAGGTACCATAAGTGATGTTCTCAAATCACTAAGTATCTTATTTTCATGTCTGGTACCACACAGGAGAGAAGCTTCCAAAATAGAAGATTACTTCTATAAAATACATTAAAAACTAACAGAACAGAATAGGATTAAATCAAATCTGAGGTGCTGGATCATATCCCAAGTAGGGCAATGGAGCTGGGGAAAGGTCTGGAGCACAAGCCCTTTGAGGAACAGCTGAGGGAACTGGGGTTGATTAGCCTGGAGAAGAGGAGGATCAGGGGAGACCTTATTGCTCTCTGCAACTACCTCAAAGGAGGTTGCAGAGAGGTGGAGATTGGTCTGTTCTCCCAAGCAACAAGCAATAGGATGAGAAGAAACAGCCTCAAATTGTGCCAGGTGAGGTTTAGACTGGATATTAGGAAAAATTTCCTTACTGAAATTGTTGTCAGGTGTTGGAACAGGCTGGCCAGGGATGTGGTTGAGTCACCATCTCTGGAGGTATTTCAGAAACATGTGGACAGGTGCCGAAGAGCATGGTTTAGTGGTGGTATTAGCAGTACCACATTGGACTTGATCGTAATGGTCTTTTCCAACATAAAAGATTCTGTAATTCCATGAAATCTGACCTTATTTTTTACAAATAAAATCCTATTTATGACAGTAAAATACCAACTTTCACAGCTGAGGTCCACATTTATTGAACAAAGTGTTCCTTTGTCAGGTTAGTCCCAGTGGGGAATTATTTCAGCCTCAGTGACTTTGAAAAGGACATTCTCTCCCAGATTCATTCTTTACCCTTTCTAAGTGTTTACAGGAGAATGTTCCAAGTTTTTCTTCAACACACACTGCTATTGTTGCATTTAGTCTCGAAACATATTTTTGAAAGAAGTGTGAGGTTCCGAGTTTCTAGCTAGGGAGAAAGTACCTGTACACTTTGGCATCATTCCTTAGAGACCATAACACAACAGATGAGAGACCCAGAAGGACACAACCAAATTCAAAGCGTGATGAGCCAGTTATTACTAAATATTACTAAACACAGGTGTTCACAAACAACAGTTACAGATAAAGCAGGGACCAGGGAAAGTAAGCCTTTCATTACAAATTTTGTATTTCTCTTAGTTAAAAATTTTCCATGAACATATGCAACAAAACACTTTGCTATCATTTCCCATAACACTTAACACCACTTTTTTTTTCCCCCCCAAACAGCTGCCTTTATAATATTTTAGTTCCTGAGATCCAGAAGCTCCTGTGCAAGAGGATTAAGGAACTGGTATATGTATCTGAAGGGATACAGGCTGTACAACAATGTGCCAAACCTCCTCTCCTCTTTAAATTCAGTTATCTTGGCATTTTATTCCCTCTTCCACCTGCCTGGATATTTGGGGGATGCGCACTGTGGTTATCAGTACTCTGTGGCAATGCGAAGAGCACAGCTAACTCTGCTCTTTCTGTTCATCATGCTGAAGGACTTTTGTCCCTCAGCAAGATAACATCATGTGGTCTGTGTTCAGCTGTTTAATTCCTATCAGCTTCTTACCTGCAGGTACATATATACAACTGCCTTGTCTCAACAAAGTCTCTGCCATGGAGAATGTCAAAAACAGAATGATGCATCAGACTAAACCAAAGGCCACGGACAAAGCTGGGAGTCCTTTCATTCAATGTGCTTTGTATTTCATACTCACAGAAAAGAGTATTTTCATCTATTGACAAAGCAAATATGAAACTTACCCTTGAGAAAAATAGAAACATCTTCCAGCTGAGGCACATTATCCTCTCTGTATCCACAGTACTTGGTCAGCAGAGGAAAGTTTTTTAAATATTCACGACAAGCATGCGTGGGATAGAGTTTACTGAGTTCCCTAAATACCACCCCCCACGTCTTAATTTCTTCAGCTGTGTACTCCACTCTGGGAATGGGTTGACCACTGTAAAAAATGAAATAATACAAAATACATTTGAATACAGCCAGATTCAAGACAGCCTCTGGATGGCACAATTTCTGTGAAAAGTATTATTTAAATAAATAAAGGTAGGCAGAGCTTATTAAAACTATTAAAAACTGGTTTTAAATTACAACTTGATACTTTTTTCTTATAATTTCTTCTTGATGTTATGTTGTGCATATTACATTTATTTCTTAAGAACTCTATTTCTTATTAAGCATGAAATTCCTTAATCTTTGAACATATCCTAGCAGAAAGATGGATTTTTTATATGCCATGTTCCTATACCAGAGTAATATTTCTCCATTTATTGCCACCGATGCCTTTGCAAGTGGTTAGCTGAAGATCCTGATTCAGTCTAGCCTGTAGATTCAGTAAGACCATCAGCGGACTGCATGCTCTACGCATTCTTTAAAATACATAATATTCACACAGCATCATTACCTAGCATTTTGCAAAGTGAAGATTAGGCAATTACACGGATGTGTAGAAATGTGTGGATCCAATTAAAATATATGTATTTATTGTTTAGACTGTTGCTTACATGTGCAGATAAGTTTGAAACCCCAAATTCTTGCAGGACTATATCATGAGGAAGCTCACCTAAAAGCCAGGAGTGTAACATAGGTGAAACTAAGCTTCTAAATACATCTCTGTTTCCTTCTGCACCATTCCTCTGTCTCCTCCCTCTTACGGAAACGCACAGAAATTGCAAAGCCAGAGCCTTCCAGGTACCTGCTAATGTGTTTCTGTCATCCAAGATTTGCCTTCAGTGCTTACAGCTAATTCAAAACTGGCTGACAGTGTGAAGAGTATGAAGGGCTCCTTCCAATTTGCACTGCCTTGTATTTAGCTGTAAGGAATTTCCCATGCCATAGTCACGGGCCATCATCTCACATTATGAATTCCCCCTAGAAACTGTATAATCTTTTTCTGGACTTAATGTTCACAACCTATAGCATGTAATCTGTGCAACCTGCCTTGGCCTCAGGTATCCTCTTTTCCTGCACTGTAACAAAGCACAGATTGGCAAAGGGATTCACAGGATCCCCTCCCACCACATCAGTCCCAATCTCCCTATCTGCCCACCACAGGGCTGGCAGCAGTGGCACTCCCAACCCAGTGCTGCAGCTTCCCCAGTGCCACACACAGCAGCCAAACAGGTGTATCAGGCACAGGGAAACTCGCTGCAGCAGGAGAATTACAGCACTGGGCTTTTTCTGGAGGTTGGCTCTCCATCTTGACTGTTGCTGCGTTCATAATCCATCATACAAGGTAACAATGAAGGAATGAGCCCTCGAGTCACATGATTGCTGCTATGCAGTCCCGACATGCAAAAGAGAAGAGCATCCACATTATGGTTGCCCCCTCATCTTTACTCTAAACTTACTATTTAATCCCCTTGCCTTTCCTATATCAAAGTATTTTGATACGTAGCAGTCAGGTGTCAGTCAAAGGCGACTTTGTATGAGGTACTGATGCTTGTTAAGGACTCACTGAACATCCAACACTAGTTGCTAGCTGCCCTTCAGCCGCTCTTTTGCGGACACGACAAGAACTGCAACACATGTAGGGAAGCATTTCTCATCCACAGAAGCTGCATTGGGACTGTGCCCATTCTGCAGCACGAGTTGGTCCTTCATGTCCAATATCTGTCTTCACCTTCACAGGTTATCAGCCTTAAGCTGCCTGCCAGCCCACAGAAAGCATAACACAGCTCTGCTAAATTGTACCGTACATGGCAGATACAAGCAGGTTGCTACTCCATCTGCCTAGGGTTGCCAGAATACTGTGCAGTAGCCTCCTCCCTCTTCCTGAGGCAGGACCTCTACTACAGATGCTGCCAGGACGGGTCAGCACTGGCCCAGCAAAGACAAAGAAACACGTGCACCAGTGGGAAAACTCAAGTTTCTATTTAGCCTGTCACTACAGAGGTATAAACACAATCAAGGATCTGAAGCTTGTTCACTGCTCACTAAAAGGTTTATAACTTAGTTATTGGTTCAGTTAATTCATTATTACTGAAGTAAGGTTCACTAAACATTAATTCCTTAGCAGGATTTATGCCTAGGAGAGCTGACCTTATTTCCAGCTGATCATGATATTGCTTTCTTTATCAAGAGCATCAAGGCAGCCAGACTTGAGGGAGGACCTACACTGTTCTTGCTCAGCTCTGCAAACCTCATTTTTCCCATCCTCTTACTTCAACAAGGAAGACCCACCTTACGCTCAAACGTTTCCATAAATCACAGAAATGTCCATCCTGCATAGCTGGTTTTCTTGTGGCTGAGAAAGATGACCCTACAAGCAAACTTTACCCGAATCTTTATTTCCCCTTATTAAAATGGGTCTTTGCATTTTACTATGGCCATGAGCTATCAACTGATATTAAGAATTCCCTCTTAAACCTCATATTTCCTCCAGATTTAATTTTCTCAACACTATTGCAATCCCTGATCAGTCTCAAAGAAGCAATTAGTAAGATTAACACATTTTCACTATCATTCAGGTAGAAGCTAAGTGAAGGAGGGAGGAATATTTTTTTGATCCATTTATTTCATACAGCTGATTTTCACTGTTTGGCTCTATTAACATGTCTTTCCCTTTAACACTCAGTACCAGCAAACACCTGCTCCTCCCAGCTGACCTCTTTGTGGTCTTTTACACTGGAGAATGACAAGTAGAAATGCATCAAGCCTCCGTAAATTATTAGGAAGATTATTTACCTGGAAGATACTGCAAGGTTCAAGACAATACTTTGAATATACCCCTGAGGGAAGCAGTCCTTACAACTGAGCTGTTCTTCTTGTATAAATAAATAAATACTTATTAGACTACAGAAGAGGGTGTGATGAGACTGCAACATGGCGCTGAGACACCTTAATTAATTCTGAGCTCCCCATCACAGTAGCAGAAACAGCTTAGCTCTAGCAGTACGGAGTCCTCCCTGGGCTGATGTGTCTTTCCTCAGCATGGCTTAGGCTGAGCTGCAGGACGCTGAGGGTAAACATCTCCCTGGGCTGACCCTACAGGCATACCTGGAGACAGCCTGACTGTACAGCCCAGCAGATACAACACATCCCTGGGGTTAAGATAACCACTGCAGGAGACCCGTGGAGTACGAACAAGACTTTGCCACATCTTAGGTAAATACCCTAATCACTGGTGTCCCAGACATTTCGTGGTCCCTAGCTAAAATTATGTGAAGCATCTTGTTTTTCCTCTGCTAATAATAATAAAGAACAAAATCTTTTAAAGGTATGAAGAGATCAGTGGGATGAAGGAGTTCTTCTGAGCAGTTTTGCTGAAGTACAAGACCTGGCCCCTAAATAGCCTCTGCTTTGGGTTGTTTGATTTTTGTAATGTGCCTGCAGAAATCATTCTTAAGCCTTCAAAATCTAAAGAAGGAAAAGACTTTTCCTTTCCTTTATCTGTTTTTCTGAGAATATGCAGGGTCACTCCACATGATTTTTGGGAAAAGACATTTCTCACTGGTTTCAGGGAAAAAAAAAAAAAAAACACCTTTGTAGCAGAAGACCAACCACTGCTTAGCGAGGCAGTAGCATGATCTTTCCAGCACTTAGGCAGCTGAGAGAGGGAAGGGAGGAAGATATTTCCAGCAACTTAGCAGCTGTGAAATGCATAGTACTACTGCTACCATCGTGGGTAAATGGAGAACTACCCGAGATTACTGAAAGAGCTCTAGCAGCACACAGAGTCTGCTCTCATCCACAGGTACCTGCTTGACATTTCACACTGCAATAAAAGCTAGGCGAGAAGAACTAACTCTACAGCAAGCATTAGACTGAAAAAAAGATAATCAATCAGTTATAAACAAAAACAACAACAACAAAAAAACCACCATACCACAAAACTGTCTCGATTTACACTTGAAAACTGGTTAAACTTAGCACTTACCTGGTCAGCCTAGGAAGCCTCTCCACCAGCCAGCACCTTGCCCGCAGGCAGGCAGCAGCTCGGTGTGCTGGGTGAATGTCATAAGCACCCAGCTAAACAAATGCCACCATGGGCAAAAAAAAGTGAAAGCCAACACTAGCACTTACACATTTCGTAGATTGGTAAGCACTTAATGACAGGAGTGGCATAAAAGTAAAGGAGAAATATAATAAGCATTATATCATCACAAAGCGGAGTTAATCCTCCTCTCCTCAGAGCCTTCTGCGGCCCATATATTAGTCTTATGTTAAAAACAAAAGAAATTAGCTGAAAAACCTTCAAAAATCCATTTGTGAATTGCTTCCTAACAGGACATGCATTCTACAAAGGGAGAAAACATTGTTGTGTTTTACATTCTTCCAACGACATAGGTAGAAATCTCAAAGGAGAAAAATGAGAAACCTAAAGAAGTGTGGTAAAATGGGAAAGAACATGAAATTAGTATGTTCTTTGCCTTGAGAATGAGGGCTTAAGCCTGTTGCAAATAAAACCTAGAGAATGACTAGAGCTAAGCTGAATGCTTCTGTGACAAGAAAATTGCAACACAATAGGTGTTTAGAGGTAGCACAGAAAGTTTTGTAACTGCCAGGGGCAGTAGCAAATTGAAAATACTGACTTGAAGTGGAGGGGGGGGGAAAAAAAAATCAAAATGGAAAACACATACAGCATACTTGTGCACAGGCACCAGCTCCACTAACTACAGAGAAATCCAATGACTGAATTTTGAGAAGTTTAGAACTGTGTTGGCAAAACTGACAAAAGTTATTTTGCAGCATCCAGTATCTTAAGCACATGAAGGGAAAATAATAATTTTGTTTATTAGCAAGATCGTCCAGCTATGGAGGGACGCTAGGTAAGTGCAATTCAGCAGTGCATCAGTTTGTCATTAAGACATGCAAAAGTTTAAGCAGCTATGAATAAAATGCTTAAGAGAGAGTGTTTACCTTTCAAATGCTTTATTTGACTGTATCTGTACCAAAAATGTAACAGGATTTCAAGCATCAGGTTTGCCATTTATAACCTACACTAAAACTAGTCAAAGTTTAAAGGATGACTTTGCCTACTGTTAAACTTATTTTTACAGAATTAAACAGAGCATGAATTCTAACTAGTCAGCAGGACAGGGAAGAATTATGCCAGTACTTACTATTTATAGCTCATGGCAACATCCACAAAGTACTTCCTTCTCTGTCGATAGACATTGTCTTTAAATCCCTTAAGCAATGAAGAAGAGAGTAATTTACAATAAGGACAGAAAATTAGCTGTAAGAATTATAAAATAAATCATGTAAGTGTTTATTTAGTACCTAATTATACTGTATTTTGATTAACACTATCTACTGGACTGCAAGAGAAATAAGGATTTCTCCACTTTTTTCCCTACCAAAGTCCCACAGGAGTTTTTTAAAGACAGGCTTATGCATAGGTACAGTCATTCATCCAAAATGTTGAAAAAAGGAAACTTTTTCCTTGTCATTTCATCTCACTCAGGTCTTCCTTAATATGAATGGAGATCTACACACAGGCACAAAGGAGAATAATTTCCCTATCTTTAATACATCTTTCTTCACTAGAAGAATCAACCGCCTAGAGTTCTTATGTAACTCATTTTGAAGATGCTACTTCAGCAGTTACCAACTTAACCAACACATTAGGGACTGAATCAGCAGCCTCCAGCAGCAAATATGCACATTGCTCCAATTTGAGTTAGAGAGGAAGGGCTCTACCTTCCTCTACAGGCTACAGTAGGCTCATACCTTTTCCATATTAAGCACAGAAGAGGTATATGACACATATGCACCAGCCAGTTACAGCCCTTTGAGCTATTCAAAACTAAAACAAGATCTCCTCTTTACGTATAAAAGATGTAGACACTTCAGGTTTTGGACTACAAAAAGATTTATCTATTTTCAAGGCAGAACTGCCAACCTCCTGAAAATGCAAAAGGATAAAGGGTTATCCAAGTTTCCCAGTTAGTAGCCCAGCAAGCGCTTTTAAGTTTCCCCTAGTCAGAACTGAAAAATAAAATGCATTTTTTCCTTATAGCCCACATACACAAATGCAAATCACTGAAGGGAATGAAAAGATAACATTGTTTGATTTGAAATATTTGTATGAGCTTCCAGAAAACTCAGAAGGCATTTTACTGCCCCATAACCAAATGGCGCAAAGCAAAACTCTGCACTCCTGGGGCGGAGTAAGACAGGATGTCAAACGACTGCAGAAAACCTTCAAGTCTCCACTCCTACACAGAAAAGCTTTTTGACTGGCAAAAAGTTGCTGTAACCTGGGGGCACCTCCTTGTCGGCTTAATACCTTTTGACGTAAGCACTGAGTTACTCAGCTGCAGACCAGCCAAGAGCTGAAAAACGATGGAAGACGGCACAGGGGATTTAAAAGTCTGTCAAATGTGAAACTGAGACTGAAACCATTACCCAATACGGAGCGGGTTAAGGCTATGCTGCTGAAGTGGTGCTATGCTGTTTCTGTAATAGGGTAATTCTTTTTGGTCTCCTGGCACCTACATGACACCCCTAAGGAACAGGGCAGCACCAGAAGTGGCCTTCAAAGCCCAGCCACAGATTTTACAGATTTTTCCCCCATCTCTAATACCTAGCATGCTGCATAGGCTAACAAATGGTGTGTAAATTATGTTTATAAGAATTCCCCCAAGTGTAAAATATATATTCATATAATGCAAATGTCTCTTTTCATTGTCTGTAAAACTGAAGGCAGATTTTCAGCAGAGCACTCAAGTATTTAATGAAGGCACCAGCTCAGAACATAAAACAGTATCAAATGGCTTGTCACAGTCATCGACTCAAGGCTAGAACGAGCTGCCACTACAGCCTCTGAACCAAATTACTGTTAATGGTTGGAGGTAATCAACAGACTTCTCCATTATGAGAAAACGCGAGGTAAATCCTCGTTTTTCATCAAGAAGTACATGGCAGAAACCAGGATCCAGGAACGCTCCCCCCAGCTGTGAGCCCACAGGGTGGGAATGGCGCACGTGCCATGGAAATGGCTGAAAACCAAGGGAGGTGATGATGCTTATCATGGCTGATCCATGGACAGGTGACACCAGAGGCAGGAAAGTGGGGCTGCCAGGGGACATCGTGATGATGTCTCTTTGCTTGCTTACACAGGCATGAGGGTCTGTGCCTGAGGCCCCACCACGGCATGGCAGCTGTAGGAGCTGCGGAGCTGACAGGACAGAAGGCAGAGGTCTGGGTGCTGTTTCTGCACGGACACAGAGCCCCAAACCCAGGGCCACCAGGAGTGCCTGCCTCTCCTCAGCCAAGGTAGTCACCTGGGAGGAGTCTGCACAGGCGCTGTAGCAAGACCCCTACACCTAACTGATCTTTTTGCAGTCACTTCCAAACTCTTTGGGGCTCTTTTTCACCAACTTGGACAACATCAAAAAAGGTGTGTGATGAAAACGAAAAGGAAACTTTCACCTATAGCTAGAGTTTCATCTGATTCTATTAGAAGATAGTCTTATGGTCAGATATCCTAGTTCATTACCTACACCCTTTCAGCTGTTTCCTACAATACCAGTTTAATCCAGCCTATTTTACCTTGCAGTAGGAATGAATACAACCACCTACCACCAGTATCTCTCAGCCAAGTGGTCCAAAGGGACAAACTTGGATTTACAACAAGTGAAAATGTTGTAACACAAATGCTTGCAATCGTCTGCCATCTAAAGACTCAGAGGTTAAGAAATTACGGACATCGGCCAAAAGAAATAAAACAATAACAAATCTCTTCTTTTGCTTTTTGCATTGAGCATTTGGCAATACTGCAGATACAGCTTGTGTGAAACACAGGCTTGTCTCCTGTCACCAAAGTCAGGAAACAACGTGAGACACCTTCCCATCTGCTGCACTGATGCAGAAATTGGAACATGTTGCTCTGTTTTATCTTGTAATTACCTCCTTAGTGCCCAAAGAAGTTTTCCTACATAATTCCTTCTTGTCTGACGCTACGTTGATATTCAGCTCCTACCTAACAGCTACTTGTGACAGAACCGAAGGTCACTCTTCAGAATTTGAAGCCTTTCTATCAGCTAGTTAATTAATAAAATAAATAAATGAAAGCAGTACAAAAGGGGACATAGTTGTTCAAGGGTGAGCAAGTTTTCTGGAGGATTCCTTTTTTGGGTGTCCTACTACAGAAAAGGAAAATGAATTCACTGAAACTACTGAAGAGAACTAAATCCCAACCTTCTGAAAACTATATGCTCAAAATGTACTCAGAATCAGCAGTCAACAGGCTTTTTATTTGACTGGCAAATAACCTGAACAAATTATCTACAAGACAATTTTCTGCTACACTTACAGGGTGATCTGCATCCAGCTCAGATCCATACATCAAAACTCTCTGTGAGCATTTGTCTAGTTCAGATATCTTCCTGGGGAACCAAGGGACACAGTCGAGATCTGTAGAAGACAGAATATGAGTTGAATGTACCAAAGCATAAGACTAGAGAGATACCTGTGCAAAACATTTGTCAGTGTCTAAACCAAGTGGTACAAAAGCAGCCTTGCCTTCTTCATCAGTCCAGATGTTTTCTGGTGGATTGAGAGATACGATATTGGTTTGAAACTTGAGCAGCTGGATAAGTTCATTAAATTCTTTCTTACTGCAGTCACAGTCCACAAAAATTTCCACCTCTGAGTTCCTTCTCTTCGATTTTCGTGATTCAATATGAACCATACTCACATGTTTCTCCTGTGGAAAGATGAAATAACAGATGAAATACAGACATACCAGCTAGAAGGGCAATATTGATGGCGTATTCCTCAGAAAAGTTTTTCCCAATTATTAAAAGGTGTTTTCATTGAAAATACTCACTTTGTATTTACACAGCTAGTGACACTTAATAAATACTGAAGACAAAAAGAAATCTATATACTGAAAGTAAAAATAAAACTATTCTATTTAATGAAGTCAACTAATGATTAACTTTTATCTACTGAGACAATCTCTTGCAGAGAACACTAACATCATAATTTTTTAAGAGAAAATATATATATTTACCTTTGCTATAAACATGATATTATAATGCAATTTTATTAGGCAATGTGCATATTAATAATGTTAATTTAACTAGATTTGAATGTGCTTCTTTAAATAGTTGCTACTAAACATGTACTTCATTATCTCTTACGAACACATGAGGAAGAAAGTATTTTTGCGAAGATAACTGTGTATCAGTCCTCATCTATCTTTCTTGCAGTAATTATCAACAACCCGAAATGTTAATAGTAATAAAATTAAAATCTAATTCAATTTATTCCCTATTACAATGTTCCCATCAAAACTAAATGATGCAACAAACATGAGTGTGTAAACACTTCTAGCATGAAAACTCTCCTATGGGGTGTTTCTCCCACCACAACTATTGGTCCACCAGGGGTGTCATGCAACAACAGAGAACCACAATGGGTTACAGCTGACCTGATCTAGTGTTGTGACAGCCATGCTTCAAAACAGGAGGTTGGACTAGATGATATCAGGAAGAAGTTCTTCATGGAAAGGGTGGTGAGGCACTGGAACAGGTTGCCCAGAGAAGCTGTGGATGCCCCATCCCTGGAAGTGTTCAAGGCCAGGCTGGATGAGGCTTTGAGCAACCTGGTCTAGTGGAAGGTGTCCCTGCCCATGGCAGGGGGGTTGGAACTGGATGGTCTTTAAGGTCCCTTCCAACCCAAACCATTCTGTGATTCTATGATTTAAGCCAGAGCTGCAGTTAGACACAACCTTTGAAGAGAAGCTGCACTGAAAACATGCCTCCTTCTGCAACTCCTATCAGGTCTCTTTGGCTTCCCCTCCTTCTGTCAAACCCCTGGTTCCTGGCAGCCTCTCTCCTGAGGGTCTAACTCACCCCCTTTTCCTTATCTGGGGAATCCAGGTGTCCATATCAGTCTTGGGAATCTGCTCCCAGAGCCAGCCCCTGTGAGTCAGGACTGATATTGCTCAGTGCTCCCACACTTACACCCCATTGATGGTTTGGCCTCAGAGGCAGGCTCCAAGCCACCTCCTAACTTTCTCTTCACTTCACTGCAGGGACTGAACAACCTAAGGCTCTTATTGTGCTGCTTTGCTTTGGCTATCCTCAGGCATGCCTACAAGCTCTCTACAATTTATTAATAAGGCAAAGCAGACTGCGCGTGGTATCAGCAGCCTGCCTGAAAATGACCGATTGCGTGGGGATCTATATGGGAACCAATACTTCCCAATTTATGTTATAGCCAGGCACACAAAGCCCTGACCCTGCAAGCACTTACAGGCGCATTTAACTCCCCAACCAAATATTGCCACCACCTGACTGAATGTCACTTAGATTTTGAACTGCTCTCTGAAAGTGCCTCCTTTCATCGTGACCTGCACAGACATCTTCAACTCCCATTTACCCTGTTGCGAGTCACACGTCGGAAATCGACAGCGAACGGTGTGAAAATCAGCATCACTGTTAGACTTCATTCCAGAAAACCCTTCAGAAGCTCAAAACACTCTGTTGAATGGGCCATGAAATTTTAAGTTACTTTTATTCAATTCTGCGGAGTGTAACTGCTCTCTGTTCCTTCCGCCACGGTCCGTTAGATTTATACCAACAAACAACCTGACCCGAGTAGCCTTCCTCAGTCCAGCCAGCGTAATGGTTTGTAAGCTTTACCTGGAAGAGTCGGAGAGCCTTCACCAATCCACCAACTTCATTCTTCAAGGAAAACACCACTGCTGTCTTTCCACCTTCGGAAACAGATTCACCTTTCCCGTTTCCCTTATTCCCTCTCTTTTCCTCGTTTTTCCCAGAGCTCGATCTGTTTAGCTACAAATGAATAAAGAACAACATCATTTCACATGCAAATGGAATTCCCTAAAGTCAAGTCTTTAGGCAAAGAGAATTTTTTGTGAGAAAATAGCCTAATGGAACTCATCCAGACCTAATTTAAAAGGTAATGTATTTACTTGAACCCAGGATCACAGGTCAAAAGCTGCTGTTAGAGATGGTGAGAGAGGCCAGTCCATAAAAACGCATAAGGAAAAGTATATGAATGTCTGGGAGACAAACAGGATGATATTATTGGGGCAATAATAAATAAACATCAAGCAAACAGAGATGGTCTGAATTACTGCAAAGCTTGCAGTGATGCTATTCTAACCTGAATATTGCTGCAAAATTGCAGTGAAGCTATTCCAACCTGCACCAGCCAATTTATGACGATGAACACTGGTCTGTATTTTTGTGCTGACCATTAAATTTAAAACATAAAGCTTATGTTCTCTGTTGCACCACAATTAATGTTGTCATGTAATGTCACTTTCTCTGAGAAAGCAAATCTGCTGTTGATTATGCACAAAATCACACCATCTTTGGCCACTCCTACATTCTCCTCACAATCTGGCGGTCAAAAATGGTCAAATTGCAGCCAGCATTTAAAAAAAAAAAAAAAAAAAGATATTTTTATCAGCTTAAATCTTTGGGAGGTGCCAACAATACAGGTTTTATAGACAATTTTTGTAAGATTGACCATGCCTTTCAAAAATCAGCATGCATTTTCCAACACCTAGGTTGTGGCTTCTGAAGAAATGAAATCTCCAGTGAGCTGCTAACTGATTTTTCTAAACCAGTATCATACATAATATAAAAAAAAATTAAAGATAGAAACAAAGAATCATACACAACTATTCCACATGGATAAATTTTTTTCTTTGGTAAATTGTAAAGCAGCATGAAAGGAAAATAAGCTGAGAATAGATGAAGTTTTTAAACAGGTCTCACAGCACCTGATGACAGCCAAGTTAAACCTGTATTCTTATTTTTCCTTACAGGTAGGTTACCCCACTTGCATAATGTTTACAGACCTGTGCCAATGGACTTTAGCAAAGAGTCTCCCTGTGCTTCTCGAAGATTTTACAAGATTTCATCAAGTGCTCCGTGACCCACCAGAAAATTAGTAACCTTCAGCCTGATTCCTTTTTAAACTGGATGATGTAAAATGATTTTCTTAAAAATGGGTATTGCTGACAGGGACAAGGTATTTGCATCACATCCATCTCAATACATCCACATGGTTTATGTCAAATTGGTTTACTTTTTTACCCAATCCTAGTCCACTCTGAAATATCCACTGAACAGAGAACCCGCAGCTCCCAAGTCAGCTCCCACTGTACCCGCTGAGATTTTTTTAAAGGTACAAGAATGCACCAAATTAAAAAGATGTCTAGTTAAAATGCACCACCCTATCAAAAGCCACTCTTTAAACAGCACAGGTTAAACTACCCACTGGACATGCTAAAAGGTCTCTGGTGTCTCCTCGCACCATTTATTAGACTACACAGTAACAATCTGGAAAAACAATTATGTTTGGGAATGATATATGAAGGGTTCCAAACGTGTTTATTTTTTAAGAACTGAGCTTATATGATTCTGCTTAGTAAAAGGTTTGCTCAGGGATAGTTTAGGAGAAGGTCACTTTTGCTATAAGTTCAATAATACTTGGGATTTAGCTGAGCCCTTTTCATATACCTCAAGTATACAACCTCTGCATGAAGTGATGACGATGCTACTTTTATAGCATCCGTGATATTTCACTGCGTGCTGCTTTCTGGAAGCTATGTGCCAAGGATCATGTACGCAACTGTGTGTCTGAGAATCACACCACCATTGATTCCTCTGGGAAACGAGAGCACTTGGGACCTTCCAAGACAGGTTCCCTAATACTCTCACACATGAATTACCTGAAGTGATGGCTAAAAGCCTCTCTCAGGCATTTGAAAACTAGATTAGTTAATTGTTATGAGCCCAGTAGAAGAGATGTTGATATTGCAAGAACTCAAATCTTCTCATCCATCCTCATTAGTATACTTCATAATTAGCAGACCAACCTTCCTAATGAAAATGAATTATCTGGAGTAAGTGCAAGTACTCAGGAAAAGAATCATCTGCAGCAGAACTCAGTGAAGAAAGTAACTCAAATATAAAGACAGTGAAACAAATTTATCCCATTTAATTCAATATTTCCAATAGAAGCAATGCATACACAAATAAGGATATTTCACATTTTATTGTAAAGACAGTAGGCCAGTTCAGAACAGGTACAAACTGGTGCATTCTGTTGGTTCTGCTCAAGTGATCTGAATCTTTGTATGTTGCAAAATTTTACAGGAGGCAAAGTCTTCATAATCCTAAATACTTCACATATTCAGAGCGGGTTGCATTATTAGGACCTATTAACATTCTTTATTCTTATTAAAGTCCACCTACTCAAATACACTTACCTGTAAGCATACAGAAGTTTATCCCGTGCTTGGAACTACCCAACCACCTGCTGCACCCACATCATCACCTTACAGAGAACTATCTCTACCTCCTGACAGGGTTTTCAGACGGAAAATGGCACAGCCCC